AGGAATCGGAGACTTTTTATACAGGACCAGATGGTAAATATTTTTGATTTTTCAGGCCGTACAATCTACAAGCTACTTAACTCTGCCACTGTTGAGTGAAAGCAGCCACAGACATAAACACGTTGTTGTTGTTATGTGCTATTGAGTCGGCCCTGACTCATAGCAACCCCTCCTTGGGTTTCTGAGGCAGTATCACTACAGAAGTAGATTGCCCAATCTTCCTTTCCAGGAGTGGCCGGTGGGTTTGAACTGCCAGTCTTCTGGTTAGCAGTCAACTACCTAAGGCACTAACACATGAGAACAGTGGTATTCCAGTCAGACATTATTTACAAAAATAGGTGGTGAGCTACACTGGCTCCTGTGTTAGAGATATATGGTAGCCTTTCCGGGAGTGCAGCTACCCCCTCAGATCTCACTCACCCCACATCTTTGGTGTTTCAAAAAAGATTGGATCAAAGATGAGATAGAGCAGCACAAATCTAATACCATGAAGGACAGAAAAATGAACTTGGAATGCCTGCTTTACAAAGCATCAGTTGTCAACTTTGGCTGCATGTCATAATCACCTGGGGAACTTAAAACCCAAAAACTGACCTGCTGCCATTGATTGCAAGTCATAGTGACCGTACAGGACAGGTTTTCACTGCCCCCTAGGATTTCCAAAGCTTTAAATCTTCATCCCATGGTACTGCTGACCTCTCAGTTACAACCGAGCACTTAACCACTGTGCCACCAGGGACCTTAAGACCAAAAATCAAACTCACTGCCATCGAGTTGATTCCAACTCCTAGTGACCCCTTTTAGGTTTCTGAAGCAGTAAATCTTTATGGAAGTAGATTGCCAGTCTTCCTTCCCTGGAGTGGCTGATGGATTTGAACCACCAAACTTCTGGTTGGCAGTCAAATGCCTTAGGCACTATGCCACCAGAGCTTCTTAAAAGATACCCATGAAATAGGAATCTCTGAGAGCAGAATCAGCCACCAGTACTTTCTACAGCTCCCCACGTGATTCCCAGGGGTAGCTAAGCTTGAGAATTGCCATTACAAAGTATCAGGTGACTGCTCCACTAGTCAGAAGGGATGGTCCTATAATAGTAATAATTTACAGGCAGTCCTAGTTAGGAGCAAGAGCCTTTCCTAAATGTGTCGTTAAGAATTTGTAGATCAGTCAGAACAGAGGCAGATGGTTTTTGTTTAGCCCATTTTAGTGCAAAGAAAGTGATAATCAGTGATTTAAAAGCTGTACGTGCAGCAAGTGAAGGCTATAGTCATGAAGACTTTGTTTTGAGTAGGGATTAGTTTGGGAACTCTGGTGGTGTAGTGCCCAAGGCGCTTGACTGCTAAGTAGAAGTCTGGTGGTTTAAACCCACCAGCCACTCCTTGGAAAGAAGGTTGGGCAATCTACTTCCGTAGAGATACTACCTCTGAAACCCCAGGAGGGGTCGCTGTGAGTAGGGTCCGACCTGACGGCACATAGTAACAACAACATTAGTTACTATGTTGTTTTAAAGTGTTAGTTCAGTTGTTTTAAAGTGAGGGCACAGTTACATTACGGGGCAAGTAGGAGTCAAGTAGCAGTCGTCTGTACGGGGCAAGTAGGAGTCGTCTGTAAATCAGAGTTTTTAACTCAGGGACTATCTGTATTTTGTGTATCGAGTTAGTATTTTATCTACCTAAAATACAATCAATGAAAATAAAGCTTTATCATTGCAGATTATTTGGGAACTGCTCTGAGAAACACTTGAGGAAGGTGTTTGAATTCATTTATTCAAATATGTGTGACAAAACATTTCAAACAGAAACAAAGATGAGGACAATGAACCCCCATGTGCCCATAACCTAGCTTCAAAAACTACCCACTAATGGCTGATCCTGTTTCATCTCTGCCCTCACCCATTCCCCATCACCTCTCATAATATTTAATCTGTAAATATTCACGTCTGTAGCTCTAAAAGATTGGGACTTGTTTTACAACTTACCCTCGATATCATTATTGCACCTGAACATTTTAACAGCATGAATTATTCTTTGTTATGTAGGAAGATATGGTAAGAGAACAGAAGATATATAATGAGTATGTGGCACAGCGACGCAAGGAAGAAAAAGCTCTGGAGAAAGAGCTGGACAGAGTATTAGAGGAAGAGAAAGAGAAGAAGCTGGCTGAGAAGGACAGGGAACTGAAACTTGAGAAGGAAGCAAGGAAACAGCTCATCAGTGAGGTCATGTGCACAAGAAAACTCCAAGTTCAAGAAAAGTGTAAGGAACTGGATGCAGTCATATATATAGTTTGGTTATAGTATACTTTGGTCTTAATTCAATTTAGTAGCAAACAAAATATTTATTACATAGGTCCTTTGTCTTAGTTAAAAGGAGCTCTGGTGGTGTAGTGGTTAAAGCATTGGCTGTGAACCAGAAATTAAGTGCTTTGAACCTACCAGCCATTGTGTGGAAGAAAGATGAGTCAGTCTGCTTCCATAAAGATTTACAGCCTTGGAAACCCAATGGGGACAGGCCTACTCCACACATGCGTCATCCTCCAAACTTTTTACCCACTCTGACACCAACCATCCCTCCCATGGCACTCTGTACTTCTCTACTGGGCTCAATAATTCGATGCAATGGCCACACAGACAACACTCATGATTATGGGATTTATTAGGGAAGTAACAGGCTACAACAGCTCAGGTTCAAGAATGCTCAGGATACAATTCTTCAATCAGGACAGCCTCCCCTCTACCATGCCCTCAGGCATGCCTCTCTTTGGCCCTTGGCCTTTGGACCTGGCTTCTGCCATGCCCGGGCAAGTGTTTCAAAGCTCTTTTAGCTCTGCTGATAGGGCATCTAGGTGCCCCCCACTCTGCCAGCAAGGCTCCTGCCCAAAGGCACTCAATTTTCTCTCTCCATGGGCCAGCAAGACCGCTGCTCTGTCTCCTGTTCTGCTGTCACTGTCTTTCTGCTGTCTCTCTCCTGCCTCTCTGCCAAGAAGGTCCAGCACATAGATCCTAGGTCCAGGAATGCGTTCTACTCCACCTCCAGCTCTTCACTTTTGATGGCAATGAGATTCCCCCTTTTTGCTTTTACAAGGGCTCATTTTAAGCCTAGAAGAATGACAAAACTGACCAATCCCTACATTAGGGTTGCATACCCATTATTTCCATGGTCCCATTCCTGCAAGGGTGTCAAGTACCTTACTGACATAACTAACAAGCTACCCAATCCCCTTCGTGGGCCATAAGCACCTTACATTTGCATAATTCCACCCAGTCATCTGATGGGAGTCACAAAGACCATAGCTAGAAGAGCCGTACCAGGTAATTCACTGCACTGCACCATCATACCTTTGCTCTGGTAGTTTTCTCTGTTTATGATGCTCTTGATGTTGAGGAATTCTAGACATCCTTGAGAGGCCTTCAGTGTACCCCCAATCAATGCTGATTTATTTAAATCCTCATTCCAGGGCTTTCATGGTGGATGTTCACATCTTTGTCTTAGTATCCTCTTGGCCTCTAACAGTGCTTGGTCACAGAAGGAGATAATTATTAGGTCCCACCTTCAGGTTCCTAACATTTCCATGTCCAGCCTAACAAACAGGAGAGGCAATAGATGGCTAGCCTTCACACTAGTGGTCTTTGTAAGAGAAAACTCATCCCAGTTTCATTGATTAATTCTCCTTTCCAGGAAGTGTAACAGCAGTTGAAAATTATTAAGTCAATATTAAATACAAATTTAAGAAATTGCAAAGAAAACTATAGGCTGAAAAGATTTCTGTTATTCATCAGTGAGAAAAATTTTAGACAATATTGAGAAATTTTAAGTGTTTGGGACCTTTAAAAAACAAGGAAACAAAATCAAGCATACTTCCATTACAGGAATAACTGCTATTCACAGCTTGGTGTATTTCTTTCTAGTATTTTTACTGTTTGTATATGTATATACATAAGTATATGTGTATTCTCCCCCTCATAAATTAGGGCTACAGTGAACATGCTGTTTCATAGTTTTCATTATTTTACTTATCATAAGCATTTTTCCATGTCATTTTCTTCAATTGTATGATTTTTAATGGCCTCTTAAAAAACTGTTCTAAAAATAGACTGTAATTTATTTTACCGAAACATTGCTAATAGACCTTCAGATCATAGGTGGTTGTTGTGGTTGTTGTTATGTGCCGTCGAGTCGGCCCCGACTCATAGCGACCCCTCCTTGGGTTTCCGAGGCAGTATCACTACGGAAGTAGGATTGCCCAACCTTCCTTCCGAGGAGTGGCTGGTGGGTTTGAACCGCCAGCAGTCTGGTTAGCAGGCAAGTGTTTTAGCCACTATGCTACCAGAGCTCCTCAGTCATAGGTAGTCCCCAATTTATGATGAGGTTCCATTCTGATGTCTCTGTGCTAAGTCCGTTCTAATGTATGTTGAATACCTTTTTTTTTCTTTTTGTTTTTTAGTTACCATTATAATTTCCTTTTATTATCAGTATTTTTATAAATCTGATCTTTGTTTGTCTTTGAAGGTTGGAAACATTACACATAATCATCCGAGATTGGGAACATCAGCAAGTTATGTGCTGCAACAATATATGTAGTACATATTACTAATGATTAAAAAAAAAAAAAAAAAAAACAAAGTCACTACCATTGTGTCAGATCTGACTCATAGCGACCTCTTCTTGGGTTTCCAAGCTGGTATCACTATGGAAGTAGATTGCCCAATCTTCCTTTCGAGGAGTGGCTGATGGGTTTGAACCACCAGCCTTCTGGTTAGCAGTCAAATGACTTAGGCACTACACCACAGAGCTCCTATTACTAATAATAAGATGTACCAAATGAACAGACAGTCCTAAGTGCATACATCAGAACTCAGGGAATACCTGTGTTTCCAATCTTTTTACCATTATTTTAGCATTGCAGGTTACTATCTCTGCTCAGTTTTTTTTTTTTTTTTTTAATTCATCTCTGGTTATTTAAGATAAATTCCTATAAATGGATTTTAGGACCAAAGATAGATTTATTTTATGTGCATATCTGCCAGTTACATTTATTCTTTGGTGAATTTTCTGTTTCTTTCCTTTGTCTTTTCTTTTATTGTGATGCTTAAGTTTTTATCATGAACTCTTAAGAACCTTTACATACTGACTTTACAATATTTATTTTATAATAAATAAGCTGTTTTATTAACGTGAATGGCAAGAGGATTGTTTAATGTAAAGAAGGGAAAGATGAGAAATGCTTTAATGGTACAGTGGTAATCTGGCATAAAAAGGCTGAGTGTAGATTTTCAATTAAAAAAAAAAGGTAAGAGAAAATCTGTGTAGATCACCGCAGAAGTAAGCCTAAAGCCTATTCTTTGCTCAGTGGAGATCACTACTTCTGCTTGATTGATCTAAGACTCAACCCAGTCATACTAAGCTCTGCTTTTCTCAAGGCAGTATGGCTTTTGATGACCTCAGAAGGGTGTCAGTAGGTCTTGTCTGAAAAAAGAAATAAAACAGTTATATTACTTGTCAGAAAATTATTTTTGTCTTCCTTAGTGCAACGAAAAGCCAAAGAGCAGGAAGAACGTGCTGTGGAACAGCAACGCATAAATGAAGGTCTGAGAGAACTTAACTGTGAAGACAGAGAGAATTTTGCAAGGTATGGTTTTGTTTTCTTTATTTTTAGTATTTACCGCCTTAAAAAAAAGTTGTGGTTTTTTAATACATAGAGAGGGCAGTGTGCCATAACACTCATGCATTCTGTATATTAATTTACGTTGCAATGCAGCACAGTGCACTGCCATCAAGTCGGATCCAACTCATAGAGACCCCTCCTTGTGTTTCCGAGGCGATATCACTATGGAAATAGATTGTCCAAACTTCCTTCCATAATTTACGTCAGTACTACACTTTTCCTTCTAGAAGTTCAAAGCAGTCTACAAACTTTCATAGGAAAATAGATACCAACCCTAAATCCTAATGAAATAACAAGAAGAATTTTATTTGTTTATTCATTATTTTTGCAGTGTCCTCTCCCCTCTCCTCCTATCCCTGGTAACCAAAAGAGAAAGTTTCCTTTCACATATAAAACTTTCCTTGACTTTACAATAATGAACTAATACAATATTTGCCCTTCTGTGATTGATTTATTTCATTCAGCATAATGTCCTCCAAATTCATCCATATTGTGCAGTGTTTTGCAGATTCTACATTATTCTTTAGTGTTGCATAGTATTCCATTGTGCATGTGTACCATAGTTTGGTCATCCATTCTTCGGTTGATGGGCACATAGGTTGTTTCCATGTTTTGGCTATTGTAAATAGTGCTGTGATGAACATGGGTGTGCATATATCTGTTCTTGTCATGGCTCTCACTTCTTTAGGATATACACCTAGTAATGGGATTGCTGGATCAAATGGTATTTCTAATTCCAACTTTTTAAGGAATTGCCATACTGCTTTCCACAGTGGTTATGTAACTTTACAGTCCCACCAGCAGTGTATGAGAGTCCCAATTTCTCCACATCCTCACCAGCATTTGTTATTTTCTGTCTTGTTGAACTTTGCTATTAGTGCTGGGACATTAAGAAGAAATTTTTAAATGAAATCCTGGAAGGTAGGGGGGAAAGTTAGTTAGACTAGCAGAAGTGGCTTATGGGGACAGGATTCCATGCAAATGTCTCCAGGAGGATTTTTCTAGCCTCACTGGGCTAGAAAACAAAAATGGTCTGGAGGCTTTGAGAAATACTACTCTCTTTCTCTAACAAAATCCTGACTGGGATTAGCTAGTGTCCCCCAGGTCACCACATTCAGGCTCAGGTGGAGGAAGCAGGCTGATGCCTGCCTTGCTGAAGTCTTTTGTGGACAATAGCAGCTCCTTCTCACTGGTGACTATGGGACCCAGTGCCAGTGGCCAGTGTAGTGGAGGCAGAGGGGCGTGGCTTCTCTAATTGCTGCTCACTCTTCTGTCCCTGGGGCCTATCCATCAAATCACTCACAGATGGTACATTAAGCCCTTTTCTTCTTGGAAAGAGCATAGTTTATGTGCCTGAGCCTGTTGTCAGCCTGAAGGCACTAACAAGAATACCTGGCCGACCCTACTAACTTTGTGCTCTTGCCTCTGCTCCGGAGATCAGAGATCTTCACACTTAGCAAAAATGGAAAACATTTCCTTCTCATTTGTTAAAAAATAATATTGTATTGTGTTTTTGATGAACGTTTACACAGCAGGTTAGGTTCCCGTTCAACAATTTCTACACAGATTGTTCAGTGACGTTGGTTACATTTGTCACGACGCATTGACGTGCTCACCATTTCTGTTCTGGGTGCTCCGTTTCCGGCCATCCAGTTTCCTTGCCCTCCTTCTCAGTTTTCAAAGGTCTATTGTTGGATATTTGGGGAGGACTCAGTAAGCAGCACCTTTCTTTCTTGCCCCACTTCTGAATCAACTGATAGATAAGAAAGCAAACTGTGTTGCATTTACTATTGCTGCATAACAAAACACTCAAAAACCTGTAGCTAAAGACTTATAAGTATCTCATGATTCTGTGGGTAGACAAGGCTCCACTGGACAGTTCTTACTGGGAGTCTCTCTTGTGGCTGAAGTTAGATGTCGTCTGGGGCTGCCTGCATCTGAAGGCTCGCCTGGGCTGGCTATCTAAGTACCCATTCCCGTTGCGGGCAGTTTATGTTGGCTGTAGTCGGAGGTCTCATCTGGTGTATCACCTGAAACACTTACACATGGCCTCTCCACATAGCTTGCTCTTCTCACAGTATGGTGGCTGTTTCTGAGAGAGAGAGTCTCAACAGCAAACATTTCAAGAAACAGGAAGACAAAGCTGCCAGGCCAGTTAAGGGCCTACACCCAGGACTGGCATAGTGTCATGTCACCATTTTCTGTTGGTTGTAAAAGCAGTCACAGTGCCCTTCCAGATATAAGAGGATAAAGAAATGAGCTCCCCCTTTTGATCAAGTAAGGAGCTCTGGTGGCGTAGTGGGTAAGGCACTTGGCTGCTAACCAGAAGGTCGGCAGTTCAAACCCACCAGCTGCTCGGTGGGAGGAAGATGAGGCTGTCTACTTCCATAAAGATTTACAGCCTTGGAAACCCAATGGTGGTCACTATGAGTTGGAATCGACTTAATGGCAGAGGGCATCTTGATCAAGGGATAGCAAGTTTACATTGCAGAAGAACATGTGGAAGGGAGATGGGACTGCAGCCATCTCTGGGAAATACAGTCTGCCACAGAGAGCTATCCATGCTATCATTATTTTTGATAAAAGCTGGTATTAAAAATGTGGCTCATATATTAAAAATGCGGCTGATATATATGCAGGAAATTGGGCTTGTTAAGACTGAGCAGAATGTGGCAAACTGACCCATCCAGTCACCAGCAATGCCAGACTGCTGTAGGCCTACCCTGTGGGGGCGTGACCCTTCGGTAGAGATCTGAGTGGAAAACAGGCAGACGAGCTTCCAAGAGGGGAGCTCTGCTGGTGCTGTGGTTGAAGCGTTGGGCTGATAACCAAAAGGTCGGCAGCCTGAACCCACCAGCCGCTCTGCGGAAGAAAGATGAGGCAGTCTGCTTCCATAAGGATTTACAGCCTTGGAAACCCTATGGGGCAGTCTTACTCTGTCCTTAAAGGGTTGCTATGAATTGGAATCGACTGGATGGCAGTGGGTCCAAGCTTCCAAGAGGAAGAGGGCAAAGCTAAACTGGTGCTGCCTGTTCATTCCTTCCAATTTTACCAACAGGTAAGTCACTGCTTCATTATCCAGAGGAGTTAGCAGCGCGATGGAGAGGCCGAGGATGCCGTAAACACTATGAGCAGAGAAGATGGATTCCCTCCCTAAAATCAATATTTGTTCTACGATTATCTTAATTATTGTAACCAAAACACGTAACTGAATTTTTCATCCATTTCCTTCCCACTCACCCTGATTTTAAGAATTTTAGTTTGACTTCACAAATTATTTTCCAATTGTGATACGCGCTGTAAGTCCAAATTCCAGCTTTGATCATTTTGTACTTTGATGTTTCTAACACTTCAGGCGCTGTGGTTTGGCCCAGGAGTACAGGCAGCAACTGCAGATGCAGGTGGCCTCCCAGCAGCTGGCCCGTGCAGCTGAGAAGGCAGAGGTGCGCCGAGAGTACGAAGCAGGGGTAGCAGCCAACAGGCTTTGCCAGGACAAGATCCAAGAGATCCTGAGCAGCCCCCAGGCGCTGGCCCGGAACATTCATCCCATGAGGAGAGGATGCCGGACTCAGCTGCCACTCTAGTTCCACAGACATACAGCGTTTCTCAGGCTTTTGCTATTTTAACTACAATATACTTTTACATTCCTTTTAACTCATGGATGAACCCTTTCCTCCTCCTCGGGATTGCTTAGTTTACATACATAATTCTCTTTCTTCAAATAAAACCATCTCTTATTTAGATTTCGCTGACTTAGAAATCTGAATGATAAACTTGCTATATTCCGGACTTGCCCCTTGCCTCCCTTTTTTACTCCTTTTGTTAATAGGTTCGCTTCCTCCCCTCTCTCTACGCTATATATGCCCTTTTCCTCTTGGCTCTGTCTTTTTTCTCTTACATATATAATTCACAGTAATTACGGGGCATTTTTGTAGACCGAGCTGGGACTGCCAGCCACTTTCATTAACCCGCTTGTTCATCCATTAAACAAATATTAACCAAGTGCCTCCTACGTGACAGGCATTGTTCTAGATACTGGGACTTCAGCAGTAAACAAAATAAACTCCTGGCTGTCATGGAGCTGAGCTCTGCAAATCTTCTTCCCAAAAAAGCAATGATAAAATTGGAAACATTGTCAAAAACCATTGCAAGGCTCTGGAAATTGATCAAAGGCATGTATTTATTCAAGAAACAAGACTAAGCCTTGGTAAGAGCAGTGGAAGTCTATGGCATTTTGGCCTGGAGCTGCTCCCATGCCTGCCTCGGCTGCATGGAGCAGTAGTTCTGGCAGGGCAGGGCAGGCTGGGAGGACCTGCGGCTTCACTGCCAGAAGGGACTGACTTTCATTGGAGCAGAATTTGGAAAAACCCATGCCTTGCTGCATTGTCAAAAGCAATAAGGATCTTGGTGGCAAAAAAAAAAAAAAAAAGCAAAAACCCCACCAAGGAAAGTCAACCTCATAGCTAGCTGGAGATTGTGACTATTAAAACAAATATCAGGCAGGCAAAGCAGCCAGAAATTCACAGGAAGATCGGGGAACATGATGGCCGTAATAAGCCTTGATAAGCTCCTACCTGTTCCTGGGGGTCTGAAAGGCTCTACAGGCATGAAGCTATGTGCATGCTCACAACAGGCCAGAGCAGGGCCCAGTTATCTGCTCATGCGGGCCAACCATGAGGCCTTGTAGATACAGAAAGCGAAAGCCAGAGCAGATCTGTAAACTGACTGAACTTTGAATGTGTTTGTGGTAGTTTGGTTTGTGTGTCAACGTGGCTGGGCCTGGTTGAGTGGCTAGGCAGCTGGTGGTAGTTAATCCCCATGAGGAGACTGGCAATCAGCTCTATGGTGGGATCTACCACAAGCAGCTGGGCAGCTGCCTTTGGGTATGTGGTCTGCTTCCTGTATATAAGAAGCCTTTGGGAATGGTCTCTAGCCTATGGCACGCTTGGACGCTGCGTGTAGCCATGTCGCTACTCAGCAGCCTGCTATGCTCTGCCAACCTTGGGACTTACAATGGACTTTAGTTAATGGCCTGCCGTGTGGTTTGGTAACATCGGGACTGTGCCTTTTTACTTGTCAACCTTGGGGCTTCTCAGCCTCAGCAGCCAGCAGCTGTTGAGTGAAGAAACGCCTCTAGCTCCAGTGGGCCGGGAGCAGGAGGCAGAGCTGGACCCCAAGGTTGAGGGGCTTTCACTCAGCCCTTAGAGCCTGGCAGTTTGAACTTGGACTAAAAGCCTCCAATTTGTAAGACAATAAACTCCTGTTTGTTAAGGCCGTCCCATTTGTGGTATTTGTAAGGCCACGGTAAGGAGAAGAGGACGCACAAAAGTGAGGTTAAAGAGAAGTTTTTATTCTGCGCTTCCGGGCGAGGTTTACGGATCCCCGAGAGGGGCCCGGGCGAGGTTCACCGGTCCCTGAGAGGGGCCCCAGAAGTCGCGCCACCTGGCTGGGGAGGGGAGGGTTTATAGTCTTGTAGAGGACCTAAGTGGGGACACTAAGGAAATGGCAGGGTCCAATTAATTGCTGGCATGGGTCTGCACCTAATTAGCATGAGGGGGCTTCACAGGAGGAAGTTTATTGCTACATGGGGCTTTCCAGCCTGGGCGGGTTCTGCTACCTCGGTTGTTTTATCAGGCTGTCTCATCAGGGCCTGACACCTGGAGGAAGTTGCCAACTGAAATGTTGGTGGCTTGAGTTTACTCTGGCCTAACAGTATTTTCTTGTCAGAGCGGCACTAGGTAACCAGAACAGCGTTCCCCAACTCTCACACAGATCTATCAGCAAAAGATGGAAGCCTTACTAGCTCAAGGTGTTTAAGAAAAACATCTGACCAACCACTGACTGAGCACCAAACTATGATGACCTGGGGGAAGGGACCCACCAAAACGGGCAAAATGAAAATGAAAAGACTTCCACTGCTCTTACCAAGGCTCAGTCTTGTTTCTTGAATAAATGCATGCCTTTGGTCAATTTCCAGAGTCTTGCAATCGTTTTTGACAATGTTTCCAATTTTGTCATTGCTTTTATGGGGAGAGGATTTGCAGAGCTCAGCTCCATGACAGCCAGGAGTTTATTTTGTTTACTGCTAAAGTCCCAGTATCTAGAACAATGCCTGTCACGTAGTAGAGACTTGGTTAATATTTGTTTAATGGATGAACAAGCAGGTTAATGAAAGTGGCTGGCAGTCCCAGCTCCGTCTACAAAAATGCCCCGTAATTACCTAGGAAGCTAGGTTCAAAAAAATGAAAGTTTAAAAAATGAGCAGAGACACCAGTGCTATCTTGCCAGATTTCATGAAGGGGCAAATGAAGTCACTTGTGTGTAAGTGAGTTATTTTGTGTAAAATGTTGGACATATCTGGACATTATTATCTAGCCTGCCCACCCACTGGAGGGATTCTCTCCTCAAAACCTGGCTTCATTGAACTCTTCCAGTGTTCAGGAGATTCATTCTGCTTTGGAGCCACTTTGAGTCTGGCTGAAATATATCTCCTCAAGAAAATACTTGGAAAACATATATTCGACAAAGGATTCATTTCCAGAATAAATAAGCAATTGATATAATCCATATGAAAAAGAAAACCCAGTGGAAAAATGGACAGAAGACTTGTACAGACATTTCACAAAGGGGGTGAACAAATGGCCAATAGAGAGATGAAGAGATGCTCAATATTATTCTCATCATGCAAATGAAATCAGAACTACCATGTGATAACTGATAAGTCTACACAGCCACCAAAATGGGCAAAATGAGAATGACAGGCAAACGAGTATTGGCAAGAATGTGGAGCAACTGGAACTCTCAAGACACTGCTGCTAAGAATGCAAACTTGAACAATAGTGTTGGAATACCATGCATACCGTATCATCCAGCAATTCCACTCCTGGGTATTACCCAACAGAAATGCGTGTGTACGGGCAGTAAATGACAGCCACAAGATTGTTTATAGTAGCGCTATTTAGAGTAGCCCCAAACTGGAAATAACCCAAATGCCCATCTACAGTAGAGTGGAGAGCACTATACAACAATGAATGAACTTCACCACGTGGAACATAGTGATGAGCAAAAGAAGTCAGACACAGAAGGCCTGCTGGGAGCTTCCATTTATGAGAAGCTTGAAAACAGGCGAAGTGAAGTTTCGTGTTACACATGGGGGGGGGGATGATTACCCTCTGGGCAGAGCAACTGGAATGGGGCAAGGAGGCTACTGGGTGCTAATAACATTCTGTTTCTTGAATTGGGCTGTGGCTATTTAGTGTGTTCACTTTGTGAAAATTCTGCAAGCTGTACACATATGATTTATGTATTGTTCTGTATGTGTGTTGTACTTCCATTAAGAGTTTAAAAAAAAAATCAGTCCTCCTGAAATAGCTACCCATTGGTCATTCTGGTGTCTAGAGCTTTACAGGTTATATCTCATATTTGGAGGACTTTGTCATGTCTTTGGAGCCCTGGTGGCTCAGTGGTTAAAACGCTCAGATGCCACTGGAAGGGTCGGCAGTTCAAACCCACCAGTGGTTCCTAGGGAGAAAGATGTGGCAGTCTGCTTCCATAAAGATTTACGGCCTTGGGCGGCCAACAAACATATGAAGAAATGCTCACGATCATTAGCCATTAGAGAGATGCAAATCAAAACAGCAATGAGATACTATCTTCCTCCAGCACTAGTAGCAAAGTTCAACAAGACAGAAAATAACAAATACTGGCAAGGATGGAGAGATTGGGACTCCCATACACTGCTGGTGGGACTGTAAAATGGTACAACCACTGTGGAAAGCAGTATGGTGATTCCTTAAAAAGTTGCAATTAGAGATACCATTTGACCCAGCCGTTCCATTACTAGGTATATATCTAAAGAAGTGAGAGCCATGACAAGAACAGACATATGCACACCCATGTTCATCGCA